GGGCGCGGTGGAGGGCTGCCTGCCAGTGCCTTGCTGACTCCTTTTTTGGGGCCCCTAGGTGTGGGGCCCCATTGGCCACTGCTGGCTCTGGGCTGGCAGGCTTGGAGCTGGCACAGGCACTGTGGCCAAGGTCTACCCCTTTAATGGCTCCAGGGCTGGAGGAGAGGAGAGTAAGTTTTCCTGGTTGTGGGCTCCCTGGGAAGGGCTGGACGCCCCCTATTTCGAATTAAGTGTCTACACAGCACTTAATTCAAAATAGCTATATCGAATTTGGTGTTACTCCTCGTAGAATGAGGTTTACCAAATTTGATTTAAGCGCTCCTCTATTTCGAATTAATTTTTAAATAGCGGTTTGCATGTATAGACACTATTAAAGTTAATTCAAAATAACGGCTGTTATTTCGAATTAACTTTGCAGCATAGACATACCCTTAGAGATGTAAGTGTTGTCTGCACAAGAGGATTAACACTAATGGAAGATGTCTCTGTTGCAGTAGGAATTGCACAAGTAGGCTCTGTCTGATGCACTACTTAATTCACCCCTAAACTTAAGCCTTCTCTCTACTGCAGGTTAATCCCATCTCTTTAGAGATGAGGATACCTCCACAAAGGGTACGTCTAGACTACATGCCTCTGGCGACAGAGGCATGTAGATTAGACTACGAGGCATAGGAAAATGAAGCGGCGATTTAAATAATCGCCGCTTCATTTAAATTTACATGGCTGCCGCGCGCGCTGAGCCGACCAACAGCTGATCAGCTGTTTGTTGGCTCACCGCGGTAGTCTGGACACGCGGGTGTCGACATCAAAGGCATTTGTCGACCACCCAGGTATGCCTCCTGGGATGAGGCATACCTGGGAAGTCGACAAATGCCTTTGATGTCGACCCCCCCGCACGTCCGGACTACCGCGCTGAGCCTACAAACAGCTGATCGGCTCAGCATGGCAGCCATGTAAATTTAAATGAAGCGGCGATTATTTAAATCGCCGCTTCATTTTCCTATGCCTGGTAGTCTAATCTACATGCCTCTGTCATCAGAGGCATGTAGTCTAGACGTACCCAAAGTGTCTATTAGCCCATGGCCAAAAGGGCTGAGATCCATGTGTTGATCAACTCATGAAAGCACCATCTTTTTAAATTAGTCCAGGAATGATGACCTCCCGAAGAGGATACATCTGGGAAACTTTGTCTTGTTCATATTGAAATTCTATTCTTGGCAGCAGGGCCTTCTAGAGAGGATCTGTGGAAATTATAT